GATGGTCCAACAGAATAATTAATTATGAACAAAATTAGAAGTAAAATAAGAACAAAAATGACATGAGAATGTTCATAAGGATATTGTTTTTATAATCCGTGCATATAATTTGTAAATTAATTGCAAAGAAGATTGTAATTAATGAAAAACTAATAGTATTATCAGCATCAATTCGAACATTTTGAGTAATAATTACACATATACTATTATACGTAAATTATAATACTTATCGTTAGTAACAAATTATTAATGATAATAACAAATTGTTCACAACGTAAATTTACAATAAAAGTGAAAACATTAAGGAACTACTGGCTATTACTTGAACTTGGAACGAATTTGTGTCAAAATGTAACTATAATGTGCAAAAAGTTTATAAATTATTACACTGATTGTTTATAACAAATTAATATTGTTAATAACAAATTGCTCGCAACGTATATTTATAATAAAAGTGAAAAAATTAATAAATTATTGCCTACTACTTAACAAACGACGTATTTGTGTTAGAATATATTCGGAACTTACAAGAAGTTAATAAATTAATAAATTTATTGTTAATAACAAATTAAAATCATTGATAACAAATAGTTTGCAAAGTATATTAACGATAAAAGTCAAGAAAATTGATAAATTATTAGTTATTACAGCGGAAAAGTAACTTTTAAAGGAATCGGTAAAGTTCGGAAATTTTCGCCGATCTTCGGTCGGCCGCCGCTATATAAGGGGCCCGCGTGCAGGCTCGAGCCAGTTGTCGCTTCGACTTCGGAGGGTCCGCGTTAATATTTTTCTTTCAGGTACTAATTATTTTTTGTTTCAGCTTTTAATTATCTTTCTTCTTTCAGATTCTATTTCTTTTATTCTAGATTTCATTGTTTGTGCATTCGAATATTTTGTACAATATTCGAATGCTTCGTCGTTGGTTTATTTGTATATCATCGTTGGCTTGATCAATGGCTATTCAATGGCCATTGTCTACTCTCTTGAATAATTTAATAATAATTCCTTCTTTCAGGTACTAATTATTTTTTCTTTCAGGTTTTAATTATCTTTCTTCTTTCAGATATTATTTCTTTCATTCTAGTTTTCATTGTTTGTGCATTCGAGTATTTCGTACAATATTCGAATGCTTCGTCGTTGGTTTATTTGTATTGTATATCATCGTTGGCTAGATCAATGGCTATTCAGTGGCCATTGTCCACTCTCTTAAATAATTTAACAATAATTTCTTCTTGCAGATTTTATTTTTTTCATTCTATGTGTCTTTGTTTCAGCATTCGAGTATTTCGTATAATATTCGAATGCTTCGTCGTTGGTTTACTTATGTCTCATCGTTGGCTAAATCTTTCCTTTCACAAATTTTACGACTTCCGTTCGATTTGTTTTCGTTAGAGCGTTCGAGTATTTCGTATAATACTCGAGCGCTTCCTCGTTGGTATGTTTATATCTCACCGTTGGAATGTTTCTGTCTCGTAGTTATGTTGCTCAGGTCTCGTCGTTGGCTTGCTCGTTCCATTTGGTTATTATCCTTGATGGTTTCCTCGTACTAATCCCTTTCCTTTCAGCTACATATTAACAATAATATATTCTGTTTTAGCTTTTAGGTTTCTCAAGATTCTGTTTGCGACACATCAATGAACGATGCGTGCGTTTACTTTTAAGTAATCATAAGATAGATCCATAGACTAAGTATCATGTGCGCGCTATCTGTACAAAGGTAAGCTACCTAACTTGGAGCGAAATTTATAAATTCTCTATCATTTTCTTATCCCCCTCGTTTAGCAAATAGAACATAATTGTTCTCGCGATAATCGCGATCGTTCGTAAGTACCGACTAGCCTACGCGACGTGCTCTCGTGTACTCGATAAGTACATGCTTCGTAAGTCATCCTCACGACTCGTCTCCGACACTCATTTCCAGTCACTGTCAATCTCGTCATGCATCGGGTTCCAGGGTGACCCCCTCGGATCAGTGCGTCTTCTGACCTCGACGGGGCGGTCCGCTGCCTAAGTCGTACGCGACTGGGGCTCGGGCACATGCTGGCTGACGGACTAGTACCATCTACGGTTAGACCACAGGGATGATTAAGTTCTACCCCGTGTGGCTGGGATGCGAAGTGTCTGTCTTGGCCGGCAACCGCCCAGCAGGGCCCTCGCGTTGACACTAGAAGTTTCATTGGTTCAGGGACTATCCTTGGTCCACGTGTAAGTCTTGGCGAGTGCGACAGTGACTGGAATTGAGCTAGGCCCGATCGGGAGGGTGCCGAGGTATGAAGTTATCTCTGTACACGGGAGTACATCGCCTAGGCTAGTCGGTCTTTCGAATAATCGCGATCTCGTTCGGGCGCGTCGCGATTTTCTATTTGCTCGCGTGTTTGATATTTCATTCCCTATTTTTATGGGAACTTGAAAATATCTTAGCGTTGCGACAGTAGAGTTTCAGTATACCGAATCGAAGTTCCCTTTGTAAGACACGAAATAAGATAAAGTGTCAGTAGAGTCACTTTAACTTAATTCGCTCCAAGTTAGATTAGGGTACCTTTGATACAGGTAGCACCAGCAGGCTGCGCCACTAGGGCGCATGTCGGGTCTCGATGCGTAGCCACCTCCACGTGGTGAGACCTGGTAATTGGTATCGTTTACCGATACCAAGCTAAGAGCTACGCACCAAAGTTAAAATATTAGTTATAAGCTAGTTGTAAGTTAGTCAATATTTAATTGTAAGTTAATTATAAATTAGTCATTAAATAGTTATAAGTTAATTATAAATTATGTATAAGTCAGCAATGATTTAGTAATAAGTTCAAGATATGTCCTATCTCTTGTAAATATTCAAAGTTCCTTTTAGAATTTTGAAAAATAAGAGTGGGCGATATTTGTTGAAGTAGTATATAAATAAAGATGAATTAAGGTAAGTAAGGTAAGTATTATAAGGTAAGTAAAATAATATTAGCTATAAGCTACTTGTAAGTAAGTTATAAGTTAGTTATTATTTAGTTATAAATTAATTATAAGTTAGTCATTAATTAGTTATATATTAATTGTAAGATAGTCAGTAATTAGTTATAAGTTAATTATAGATTATATATATGTCAGCAATGATTTAGTAATAAGTTTAAGATATGTCCAATCTCTTGTAAAATGTTGAAGTAATATGCAAACGAATTAAGATGAATTAAGGTAAGTAACGTAAGTAAGTAAGGTAAGTAAGGTAAGTATTCCAACAATGAGAAAACTATGTATTTATTGTAATACTAATGTAAAGGTTGGAAAATTTCATTCTCTAGAGTTGTCAAGACACGACGTCTTTCCTTAGGATTCAGTCGATGATCGACCTCCTATCATGTTATGTTATCCTGATACAAAGTCATAAAATAGGTCTTAAATTTTACGGCTAGGCCGCGACAGTACTGTCTGCTCAATTCTTGGAAATGACGTCAGTTCTTGGAATCGATCGACGACCGACCTCCTGTCATGTTATGTTATCCTAGTACAAAATCGCCAAATTGGCCAAAAGTTTCTATCCGAGGCCGCAAAAGCATTGTCCACGAAATTCTTTTAAATGACGTCATTTCTTGGAACTGTCTCGGTGAGCGACCTCCTTTCGTGTCATGTTACCCTGATATCAACTCGCCACATTTGCCAAAAGTTTCTCGCCGAGGCGGCAAAAGTATTGTCCAAATGCAGCAAAAGTATTGTCCGAATGCGGCAAAAGTATTGTCCAAGCGCGGCAAAAGTATTGTCCAAATGTGGCAAAAGTATTGTCCATGTAGGCTGCAAAAGTATTGTCCGGAAATTCTTGGAAATGACGTCACTTCTTGGAACTGTCTCGGCGAACGTCCTCCTTTCACGTTATGTTATCCTAATACAAAATCACGAAATTGGCCAGAAGTGTTTTCCCGAGGCGGCAAAAGTATTGACCGAGAATTCTTAGAAATGACGTCATTTCCAGGAACTCCGTCGGTATCGACCTCTTCTTATGTTATGTGTTCCTGATACAAAACTGTAGAAACATTATTCAGCGCCATCTATGATTTTGGGGAGCAACACAAGTTTCTAGTCTAAATTCATAGATGGCGCTGACTGACATTTCTAGAACCTTATCATAGGAACTGTAACACAAGCTTCCAGGCCACACTCATAGATGTCGCTGACCGCTGTAATTTGAATTTTCATTGGAAAATTAACAAATTACTCAATTCCTGCGATTAATTTATGAACTTTTATAACTGCATCGTAAATGCATTTCCTTTACGAGCTTTCTAATATAACTTTGGATATTAGTTTATTCCTAATTAATTAATTATGAGTATTTATTCCCCGGAATGTTCGCGATTCGCAGATCAGCGTAATCGGACTGCAAAAAAACACAGTTCCCGTAATCCGATTTTTTTGATTTTTTGCACACGAGTTGGCAGATAGATAAAGAACATAAAAAATAAAAAAAATCCCTATTTAAAAATGTCGCCAAAATCGCACGCACCGATGTATCCATCGCGCACTTGTTAGAATCGAAAAAAATCGCACCGATCAGAAATTCCAGACTTTTTTAGCCTATTTTTTAGAGCCCTTTTCGACGAGTTTTTTAATATATAAAACGTTTTAAAAAGTCGAAGGGTAGACCCGGTATGAATTTTCAAAGTCTGCAAGAACGACTTGCAATTCGGCATAATCGGACTTCTAAAAAATGCAGTTCCCGTGATCCGATTTTTTAGATTTTTTGCACACGAGTTGGCTGATGGTTAATGAACGTAAAAAATAAAAAAAATCCGCATTTAAAAATTTTGCCACTATCATACGCACCGATGCAGTTGGAGGGAATCGGCAAAAATAGAGCCGAAGTATTTGTCCTTTTCTAACCACGTTCTATCTCTGTCTACCACGTGACGAAGTTTAGACGACCTTCTAGCGCATTCTGTGTTCCTGCTACTTTCCTGCGCTATACTATACTATACTATGCTATATACCAAATATAATCCTTTACCAATGATTAGACTTACCAATAGTAGTGATGACCACTATAGAATAAAACAGGGCGCCAGCAAATGTCCACTGAATGTCATCTTCGCCCTCACTGCCATCCCAACCCTCTTTCTCCATCATCCACACAAGATTGTTCTCAAAGCTCTGCAAAGAGAAACATCATGGCTGTACAGAAAATTCGAGTCCCATTTCTGGTTATCCAACATAAGTGGGCTGAGGTGGTACCTTTAATTCGCGTAACGCCTTGTCTGTCCAATTTTCACGAATCAGAACCTCCACCTCCTTGGTGATCCTCCATAGTTGCTCTGCGACGTCCCCTCTGATGTTTTTGATGCTTTTCTTGATCTTGATAGGAGAGAAAAAAGATGAGAGGGTGACAACGAAGGCGAGGAAAGGATGACGTGTGGGATTAGGTGGAAAAGTGGAAAAGGGAGTAATGGGTGTCGTTTATTCAAGGTGAGACAAATCGTGCGTTCATTTTATATCCTCTCTTTTATTATTTTAACATTACCACGTATTCTATTCATACACTTTCACCGATTACATCGAGAATCAGCCGATTTGTAATCAAAGGGAAAAATCAAAAGAAGAAAATTGGAAATACAGAAAAATATATGGAAAATTGGACACAAATATAACTAATAACTTAAAGAAAATTTAAGAAATAGTATTTAACACTAGATTTACGGATGCTATCTGTATACCTATTTCTATGGACACCTGTCAAATTGACAGGTAAAGGAAACCACATGCCTTTTTTTTTTGACTAGTTTAATTTAAAAATAATTATATATTATATTAACAGTCTTAATATAAGTTAACTAAATCTGTTACTATCGTATAATTGGAGCAACCCTTCCGTCAAATTGACGGGTTTCTTAAATCTAGTGTTAAAGAAACAAAATTTAAAAAACAGAAAATTTAAGTAATATATATACGTAATTCCATTAACTTATATTCTCGAGTAAAGAGTGCGAAGAATTACTGAAGCGGAAATGAAATTAATGGGACTTACCTCCTTCTCGTGGCTCGCCTCGAGGGCCTCGAAAGCGTACGCGCCGATCAGACAGTACAACACTACTAAAGAAACCAATGACACGTGGGAAAAAACACATCTGAAGAACTTCCACAGGAAACGTAGGAACCTGATGCACTTGGAGGGCTTCTCGGCCTCGACCATCAGCTCGAACGCTTCCGGTCGTGAGCGCGCCATCGTCACTTCCGCTTCCAAACACGCTCCGCTCCCTCAGACGCCCTCGTCACAACGCTTCATTTCTTCGCGAGTTCCGCTCGACGCCTATGTATCACTCGTGTCACGTGACCGAACTTCAATCAGTCGCGATCTCCATTCGATTTATTGATTTCGTCGATGTTACATTTTCATGGGAAGAAACGGAGTATGAGTAAGCAATAATTTATTTTGATTTTAGTTTTGGTTTGAATTTGGCTTTTAATCGGGCCAACTGTAGGTATACCAATAAATTTTGGAAAATTTTAAGCTGGTTTTGGATATCGTATTTGAGATACTTGGAAATATTTCAAGATATCGCGACGGAGTTCAAATGTAGTATAAACATCACTGTTTTCATCATGGAGGAATAATTTTTAGTAATATTCGATTATCACGTGTCACTTGGAAATTTATATGTCACTATATTTGAAGAAGTTTAGGTATTACTGTGTTAAAAATATTAGTGTGTATTTTAGATTCCACCGTGCGCGATGATCACTCTGTCGATATGGGAAAAAGCTTCTTTACCTTGGACAAAAATTTTACTAGAGTTCTATAAAACTTGTACTCCCCACGAATAAACACATTTTCCAGGAACCGACTTCTCCAAATTTGTAATTCTGTAGTAGCTACTACAAATCATTTTGATCGTAATATTCTATCACACATAATCCACAATGAAAACAAAGAATAAAATCGCAGCAGACCTCTCCATCCTCGACTTTGTAATTAAATTACATCCTGTCGAAGACAAGCAAACGTACGTTTAAGCAGCAGTGTACATTGATTATTTTAACAGCTAAGATAAACGTATCGTAGGAATTGGTAGCCATGTGAGACACGTGTATACACATTTCGAACGAGTTACCATGCTTTAGATCGTGAAATCAGCTTCTTCAACGTAAAACATAATTTTACATTAGAATGTACCTTAAGTAGGTATTTCAAGTATTTTGAGGATATAATAAATTGATAAAATGTCGAGAAATTTATTAGTTACCAGAATTATTGAAATAGCTCAGAAGAATTGAAGGTTATTAAAGAAATTGGCCAATTAAATAAAGGAATAGGTATGGAAAGTGATTAATTAAGAAAGTTTCAGAAGAAGAATGACGTCACACAAAAGATAAGCACTAATATTAAGAAAGGAATCAGAGCAAAACAGAATTTATTTCCCCCTGCACAAGAGGTATTTGATTTGTCTTCCTTCCATTGGAATTCTATTATGGTAGTGAGAAATAAATGGCCAGTCGGTATCCGTGATCTACAATACTAACACACCTATACGTATTCAGACTCCAAATAATGTGAAAGTTAAAACCGTGTATTTACCAACTTAGGTGTAGAAAGCAATAAGCCGAAAGTGAGATCTTTATTACCCAAGAACAGTAACTCTAACCTTCCAACATTAAAATGTTGCACCATCTAGCGATATAATATAATAACACTAGGAGACAGAAAATTACCATATATAGAAACTTTAATTTTACCGACGTTTTAATATTTTTAATTCGTATAACCCACGTTTATTGAATATTCCTTATATCTTGAAAACAATAAGTTTCTAATGTCTTGGACCTTTCATTCGCAATATCCTGTGTCAATTTGTTTAACCAAATTGTCCTTCGTGTAATATCGTTGATCACGTGACAAGGATAATCCCTAAACGACAGTTGTTCCCTTCCTTTTAATAATTTATACGCGTTATACAGAGCGGTATACCGAGTTCTCCATCGCGTCGTTGGAGAACCGAAACTAACTGCGGAACTAACGCAAAACACAGGCGTGTTTCGTCCGAGACGGTTGTTCCAAATTTATCCCACCTATGCTATCGTTGAAATTTCGTTTCGGGACGAAGTATTATACGGTCCACCCACTATGGCACATGGCAAATGTGCTTAACAAAATTTCTTCATAAAAGTAAATTCAGAAAAAGGAATTGGTATATTAATCGCCGATAAAGTGTCGATAGTTGATATAGATAAATTATTATTGTTAAATATATTTTTAAGATGTATTTATATTTGAGAATATGCAAGTTTCTATGTATATATATTTAATAGTTTTAAATGTATTAATTAGAATTATTCTAATTTTTCAATTATTTTTATGTTTATTTTTATGGGTGTTTCATATTACGTATTAGCTATTTTTCTAATTTGATATTTTCTAATTGTTCGTATGTACAGATATATGTTTCTATTATATATACAATATTTAATAGAAAATGTTTATCTCTTTTTACTTACAAGAGGATTACCTACAGCAGGTAAGTTAACATTTTCAACAGAAGTCTATTTTACCGATAGAAGTTCTTGTCTTATTGATTGTTATCTATTGTCGTTAATGCGTTCAAATAATTTCATTACAAACCTTACCAGTGAAAACTGAGATGAATTGCCATGTTACATCTCAAATGGCAAAAGAAGAAGGTCATTTTTAAGTCAGTATTTCAAAACAAATACACAAAACCTAGTGAAAAATATGAAATCACTAGCAGATAATTAAAAACAAAAAAATGGAAGAACTTCTGAGGTCGTAAATTATATGAAATAATTTTCTCCTTCTAAAAATTCACCAGGAAAGAACGTAAGAGGAAAACACGTATATCTGATAATGGTTTATTATTATCCAAACCGACTCTTCTGTGTATGTACATAAAAAACGAGAGTCCGATCGTCAAGACTGAGCGTTAGATCGCGTTGCATTCGCGACCAACGGTTTTAGGCACTTTGACACTCAATTTCGCCTTTCTAGAGAGGAAATATTAAAAACGAATTCGATCACCAAACAAGCTACAAGTATATACCTAGTGGATGTTCAAAAATACCGCGAAACCGAGCGTGAATAGATAGGAATATTTTCGTCAGTCTGATCATTGCGATCGCGTGATAAAAATGAATTTCAATCGAATAACGCCGATTAGACCACTGTATCTTGGTATCCGTGAGTATGTAAATATAAATATTCCTCGGGGAAACATTCAATCGACAAATCTATTACACGTAAATATAATAATGATACAAATAATAATAATAATGATAGTACTAATAGTAATAATTAGAATAATTATAATAATAAAGTCTATGCGTATAGTTCATGGTGCAACGTCAATCGCGCTCTCACCTAACAGCACAAAAAGGGAAAGAAAGGAAACGATCGTGTCGCGTAGAAAGCGATCGAGGTTCACCATGCAAAAAGGAGAGGAGAACGAGCCTACGAGCTCGCTTCGAATTACGAAGGAAATACACGCGGGAAGAAAGCATTCGATCGTTCCACGGATGTACTTTTGTTCTTTTGTGAAACTCGTGATAATCTTCGATGATACATGATATCGACAATTTTTCTTTTTTGTCAATTTTAGAAATAATCGTGCAACAGAACCTATTAAAAGGCAACCACGACTTTATAATCATTTCTTTTCTGTCCCATTTTTGAGATTTTTTATTTTTTCTGTCCCATTTTTTTTTTTTTTTTGGTTCCCAAAATTATATATTTTTTAATATTCCAAAATCCAATTTTTTTTATTATTTATGCGCGACATTTTTAACTCGAAAATTCAGAATGGTAATTTTGATTGATAAAAGAAAAGATCGTAAGAGAATTTCGATTTCTCCTTTTTCCTCTTACAACATCAAATTCTAGTCGATTGCATAAGATGAACGATATTCGATTATCACATCAAGATGGCAGAGCATCACGCAATTTTTCGAAAACCGTCCGATCGAACAGTTTATTTTGTGTCGTCTTCTTTACGTAATCGAACTTGAAATCAACACGATGTTTCACGTATTAGCATAGTCGTGTGTACATCCCTGGAACAAGGGGCTTTCGTTACCTCCCGTCTGAAACGCGCAAGAAACTTTATTCGATCGGAAATACGATCGTTAGTTTACAGTAAACTCGAATTACAGCATCGATCGTGAATTCAAGACCTGTATGTGACATAGTCCGATAACGTATGTACAGCGCATCAAAAACGACGTTTTTTGGAGGTAATTTAATACTCAGTCTACAGGATGTTTCAAAGTACAACTGGTTGTCTTTCATTCACATTATTTTGTCTTCCTTGCAGTTATATCAAGACCACTATATATGTATATTTTTCTACAAAATAATTTCAACGTGGTAATCTTGTCAGGAAATATCAAGAAAAATACAAAGAAAAGTCCCATCGATATTACTATAAAAATAACTATAAAAGACAAGTATAAATAAAAAATGGTAAGTTGAAAATATGAAAAAATCTCTGCTTGGGAATTGCATAGTAAATGAACATCAAAGAAAGACGATAAAAATGAATACTGTAAGTAATAGAACATTTGAAACATCTTATATAAAGCGTTCTATAAAAATAGATTTAAATAATAAATGCAAAATGATCTGAAATCAACGATCGATATCATTTTCCAAATTTCATTCCTTTCAGTTCGCTTCGTTTCACACCCGTTATATAAGCTTTCTTCCCGTTCTTATTCGACAAAACGTCACAACGAATTCTTCCTCAGGAAACGAAGAAAAGGAACAGAAAAGATAAGGAAGAACGTGAGGAAACTACGGATACTGCGAATCCTAGTCTTTAGATAGGATAATAACCTAATTAATACTAATGTACGGTTGTGCAACTCGGTTAAACAGTGTCGACGCCTATCGGTAAATGCATCTTCCTGTCACGTGATCGATCGAACAGCAAGAACGAAACGACATCCTGTATCGATCTATCAGTCTATCACTTTTTTCTGTTCCTTTGTTTTTACAATAAGATAAGTCAACATCCTTCTTAATCTACCGAGTTTCCCACGTGTGAATTCGATCAATCGATACAGAGTGCGCTCGAATCGTTCGATACAGGACGACAGATGGCTAGGTGAAGGTACGATCAAAAAATACAACGAAGCTTCGCACAATGAAACGTTAGAAACAATGTTTTTCCGCGAGCCTCTGCTAATTTTCGCCGTCGAGATTGATAAACTAAATCTCGCTTACTAAATTAGCACAGAGATGGTGTTGTCAGCACGAAAATAGCAGAGGCTTGATAATTCTCGCTTTCGATCGTTCGTTCCTTCTGATTTTTTTTTTCGAAATTCGAGGTGTATACAAAACAATGTGACCACCGTTTTTTGTAAATCAATTACATCATGTCTTCGGTTCTTGACATTTTAAAATAAATCAGATGTTATTCACACTACCGAATTGATCGAAATATTCGCTTATAATTCAGTTGTAATAAATTCAGATTAACTAAAAATATTAAAATATTCGAAAATATCCGAAACATTTCGAATATTTTCGGATATCTTTTATACCGTTTAATGATATATATGTTACATATAGATATTAAAAATGTTATTTTGCTTTGCTAATACGATTGAAATATTCGAATTGTGGATATGTTTACTGCAAATCCACGCATTAAGGCAATCAAATATTTCAGTTTACTCGACAAAACGAGTTTGCCTTGGTTCGAATTTCGAGAACTGTATGCAGCTCTAATTGCCTGTCTTCCAATTGCATTCGATGATATCCGATCTCGTAAAAAACGTATCAAGCGCCTTGTAAAAGTACAGTTAGCTCAAGAACCGACCGAACTGCGGCTATCTCGAAGGACATTGAGCAGAGATAGCGTACAATTTACAATTCTGCGAGTCACGATTGCGTTCTTTCAACCAGTGGCACAAATTGGAAAATCGTTAAAGCTATCCTTATCCTACGGATTATTCTAATCGTTGTCATATGTTCCGTTCGATTACACAGCCTTTTCGACATCGAACGTGTCGGTGAACAAACGAATGCTTCGAGCTTGCAATTTACGCCGCGCGTGGCGCACGTGTTCCACGTTTCCCGTACAAAACCGTCTCTCCCTAAATTCCCTCATACTGGGCAATGCTTTTAAAACCTTAAACAATTACAATTCGCAAATAGAGTACACCGTAATTTTACAACAAATTCTTCTAAAGATATTTCTCAGGTAATTAATTAAAAATATTTAAAGAAATACAAAAAGTGAGATATAAAGTGACACTTGTTGATGATTCCAGCATCGTCTGAGTTTGGAATCATAAGGAAATATATGAGACGTAAATACACGGCATGAAAGAAGAATAAAAGTGGAATAAATTTGCAAGTTCAACATCCAAGTTGAAATTCTTCGTCCATCGAAGCAAACGCGTTTCCAACGACGATTCGAGCAGCAAACTTCTCTCATATTGGACCATTGTTAAAGAAATTCAACAAGAAGAGGAACGAGACGAACGAAGGGTTCTAAACGGTTTCAAGCTTCGTCGTCGATAGCACACGAAATAAAGACTCGAAGAGGTCTGGTTCGCGCTAGCTCGGTCCAAAGAAACCAAGAGTTTCCAACGTCCTGGTGACCCTTTCGACTAATTGGTCCCTGTACCGCCATATCGTAGTGTCTAACACGCTGTTCTCTCGATATTTCACGCAGGTTTTCTTCAACGACTTGACGCAGTCGGCCCGATAATGCTGAAGCTGAGCATCCTCGGTCTCGATGGGGTAACTGGTGCATCCGGCACCCAAACAGGCCAAGGGGAAGTGATTGTGCAAGGTCACCACCCTCTCCGGATTGTGGAAGCACTTGATGTATTGATTAGGTTTGGTGAAGTTCATCGAACGGTAGACGTGCTGCAACATGTGCATGTACCTGTGGACATATGGGGAAATGTGAACAAGTGGTCGATGATACTCCTTTTCAATTTTGGGTTCCATGCTTCCCAATTTCCAATTCTCCGAATATTCAAATTTACAAATTTTTCATTCTATAAACCTCGATTTTACGAATTCTGGGATTTGAATCTTATAATTTTGGACATTTGGATTTTCAAATTCTTAAATTTACAAATTGGAATATTCGAATGCTCCAATTTTTAAATTCCTAAATTTACCTATTCAGGTTCCCAAAATATTACGTTTCAAAATTTGGGTATCGAAATTTCGGATATTGGAATTTCCAAATTCAAACATTTTTAAATTTAATTATTAAATTTTTCGAACCTTCGGATTTCCCGAATTTCGATTTAATTTTTGGCTAATTTACCGAACCGATTATGAAAAAATTTACAAGACATATTAGATTGCTTAGGGTTTCGTTTTGCTTGGCTCAGTTTTATTACAAAATTGACCGACTACTCGGGAGATTACTAAATCGCAGTCTGTACTTATTTTATTAGAGAGGAGACCCGGCTCTTAGTTACGTTAAAATTTGCTAATACCTTTAATGATACAGAGGAAAGCTCGTATCCGAGATGCAATTTATTCGTCTTTCAAAACTGAACAGGTATTTACCGAACATAAAGAATACTGTTATTATAGATACATTACCATCTAATATTCCATTCAACTTAAATTGCGCAATTTCACCCAATTTACAGTAAGACTGAGACTTTACATAGAATTACATTGATTAGTTCAATCATCGAGTCTTGAGGAATCTTTTTCGTGCCAATTAATCAACGTCTCTTTTCTTCTCGGATCAACAAATTGCTCGGTGTAGATAAACCAACGGGGGGAAAAAGAACGCTTCCACTGATTCATTATCCCATAAATATACCCCCATAACCGTGCAAGAACCTATCATATCGGTACTCACTTTGGCACGTCCTTAAAGTACCCATGCGAGTGCAGCAAATCGTCGAGAAAATACACATTCCTCACATTGTACGAGGCTCTAGTCTCGTTTCTGATCTTCAATGCCTTCGTCAGTACCCTCTTCATCAAATCCTGCCACGTAGCATCTCTCACTGGCATGATCACCTCGTCCACATCCAACAGAGCAATGTACTCGTACTCGTACATGTGCTTGTACAAGCAGTCGTTATAAGGAATCAGTTCGTTCTGTCTCTTATGATTAGTCTTCTTGGTCAAGTACATGTGCTGAAAAGCAGGCACGTTAGGCTGTCCACCAGGCAGGGTCAACGGAGTCACGTGGACCTTGCCTAGTCTCTCATAGTGATTCAGAATCTTGGTGACATTAGGATGAACCTGTAGCTGGTAGAAGAAAATCTTGTCTGCGCCTAATAGAGTGATCAGCTCTATCCACTCGACTAATCTGACAGACAGGTCTTCGTGGAGGAAATCCAGACCTTTGACACAGACAGCAAAGTCCTTCTTACGTTCAGGCTTATTGTATATCACTCTAAGATTATTGCTTGGGACGTCGCAAGGCTTCTCCACCATGGACACAGAGGCTGGGGGTCCCTTCAGCCAATGGGACTGAGGAATCTTACAGGCGATCACGTAGGGCTGATAAATCCCCTGTTTGTAGTTACCCCATTTCGAGTACCAGATGTATTTGTATTCCAAAGTTTCGACGATCTTGGGTTCCCTCTCTCCGTCATACCACAGCTGACAGTGAGTCTTGACGATGGGTTCGATCCTGTCGATCATACCGACGATCCTGATAGCTGGACCTATTCTCGACAGCTTTCGGCGGTCATAGAAAGCACCAAACAATTGGAACGTGCCATTAGAGGTCCTCATGGTTTGCCAGTAAACGTTATTAAACTCTATGTCGTATATAGAAGGGTATTTCAGGTTGGAGCAGCTGTCGTTGCCTTTGGACTTGACCTGACCACTGGAATACTTGCCGGTCTTGCTCCAGTAAGCTAGAGGTAGGCTAGGTAACCTCTGCTCTATTTCCTGGATTAACTCCTCCTCTGTCTTTGCAGGACTCTTGTCTAACAGAGGTTCCAGGTCCAGAGGATTCTTCGTGGGAGTGTTGGACATAGTGGTCAAGGTGGTGAGGAGGCTGGAACCGCCGGAATTGGAGAAACTGGAGTCCGCTGAGGATCTTTGCAACAGGTATCTGGAAAGACCGAGGCTCGAGGAGCCATGGTTGTTCACTGCTTCGCGTTGGCGATACATGTCTATCAGCAGCTCGCTGGCGGATTCTTCCCCGGTTGGGGTCTCTCTGATGCTGTTTTCTATGTGACGAAACTGCACTGCTGCGATCATCACGAGGCCCCAGGCGAATACGAACATCAGAGCTCGCCTGGCGCACCTGGACCTTCCGCCTCTGCAGTTCTGCAACATCTTGATGGTCGACTAGCTGCGTATCGATCGGGACACGCTGCCTCTGTGGCCCCAGCTCCACTCACGCGGACGTGCAAGGGTGCTGCGTCTGAAACAGAACGTTTCCGATGATTAGGATAAGGTACTCCAATCACAAAATGTAATCAGACTATAAATATCCCAATATTTTAGTATCAATGTCTTCGTCTTAGTACCCCAATATTATTCGATAAAATGCAAGATCTAAAATGGAGTTGATGAGCTTCACAGGAAAGCATGGTGGGGGTTGGAGACCTTGAACGTCTGAGTGATTCCGAACGAGTAATATCTCCTATTTTCTTAAAAAGGTAGTAAAAGTAAGAATCTTCGATTCAATTAGAATATATCTACCGACCTAACCTAATTTATTCTTTTAAAACAGATGAAAAAGAAAAATGGAGTGAAGTGCGGTTAAATCTGAGCTTCGCAGTGGCGATGGAGAATCTTCCCAAGGTCAGTCTTAATCCTTAATTCGTCTAGAATATATCCACCGACCTAACCTAACTTATTTTTCTTTACACAGGAAAAGGAGAAAAGTGAAACGAAATGCTGTTAAATCTGAGCTTTGCAGTGGCAATTGAGTATCTTCCCAAGGTCACGCTATGTTGTATAAGATGTTTGAAAGGATATCGAGATTAAGACCACGCAGAGCATAATACTATCTTCTGTGACCAGTCGCATCAGTTCGTCTACCGTTTGGAAGGAAGTCGATAATAACCGGAAGCGTTTTCCCGACGGTTGACGCAACCGGCGAAACTGGAGGATCGTAATCGAACGCTTCCTCTTGACGAGTGGAGAAACGAGAAAGAAACAAGAAGACACCGTCGGAGAGTTGCTTTTATTCGTCGATCCGGGGCTATGATCTTCGGCTAATTGCGCCTTCATCGTGGAAAATCTTTTCCTGTACGCCATTATGCCTGGATTATTACTTGTGAAACTGTGGCCGCTCATCCAGAACGATATTACCATGAACTAAATAACGAGTTAGAGGTTATGTTAGCCGAGGTCTTCGCCGGATTCCATGCGATTACGATTCTGGTTTAGAGATTATCCTTGACCTTTCGTGTTTAAATGGTAATGGTTTCCCGTTTTATCGTTTTTTAGTTTCAGCCAACTGTGGAAAGTGAAAAACAACTGGCTGACAGATAAGGGGAGCAGAACGGACGATGGAAAGCTTATCTGGAACGAGTCGACCGTGTCAAGGTATCAGGAACGATACCGGACTTGCTGCAGCAGCTTTCACGCCCGGCAAGGTAGCTTTTATTCGTATGTTTATTTATAAACCGGGTGTAAGTGGTGGAGCATGATTGGAATGACGAAAGATGGTGAATAATACGGCAGAAGCAGTGGGGATAGAATTTAAACTCTCTTATGTAACTGCAGTTTCATTTACTATCACTGTTTATGTTTCGATCAGAGTTTTTGTATGTTACATCATTTATATTTTATATATATATAGTATATATGACAGACACATGGGTAAAAGTATAGGCTATATGTAAATAATAATCCGAACAAAATATTGTATATATATATGTAGGAACAAGTAGCACTAATCGTGACATCTATTGTTACTTTAAGCTAACCCTTTGCACTCGAGAGGTGACTCTCAGTCACCATTTAATCAGATTCTAAAGATCGATGTTAATTAATATATCAAATTTAAAATTACCTAACGATGTGTGAAATGTCGAAGAAAAATAATTCTACGTCTTAATTTGCATATGATTTCTCATTTACCACTTTAAAAATATCGTCAACTTTATGACAGAAAGTCTTCGAATTACTATTTTTCTGTAACGAAAAAGTCGTCGAGTGCAAAGGGTTAATAATACTGTAAACCTAACGGCTCCGAGATCTTCTGTACTTCACTTGTTTTCTAACCTCCGAGCGAGACATATGTGCCTGTGATTATGAAAATGGTCTAAGTCACTTATATTTGCTTCTGAAATATTAAAAGCTTCAGCCTTTAAGTATGTCATAAATTACAAAATTAATTGCGATAAAACTACAAACTCAATCCAACGATTCAATTCTTCACTGTTTTGTAGAAAACAAATATATTTTATCGCAATATAAATGAATGCAACATGAAATAAATAATAAAATCGTTCCCGTTAAGTCGATGACTTAGACCACTTTCGTAATTATAGGCACATATGTAAAAGTAATCGTTATAAGCAGAGATAACAATATATATTTTTGGTATTTTTAATATCTTTAAATATTTATATTATTTACAATTTTGTTCAAATTATTATTTATATATAGATACGTGTGTCTGTTTATATTTCTGCGATGCAAATATAGCTTTATTTGCACAGTACTATGTCACAGCCTTGTATCAAAAGACATCATAATCCCTCGTCAATTATATCTTTTTCATCGGCACGAGTAAAAAACGATTTCAATGAGAGAAGATTAAAGTACAGTACGGATTAGCCGTATAATTATCGGTAGAAAAAATTGATCGAGTTTCCAGATTGATACTCGTAGACCTCGGATAGAGGTTCATGAAACTGAAAACATCAGTCGTCGGGACCATCCTCCTCCCACTTCCTCGATGGATTACCGGATAAAGTAAAAACCCGTGACTAACAACCCGTGATCCATGACTCAGGCGTACAGCTTGTAAGTCATTAACATTAACAGCTAATAAGAGTGCTAGACGGTCTAACGAGGATATCCATCCGACAGTAGCAAAAAGTATCGTGATACACCTCTCAAATGAGAAAAGAAACACTCACCTGGTCAATTTTACGACCTAGCTCTATCGCGAATGCTACGGTAACATCTAACAAGAAGAATGTAAGTCCTCCGGGTCACCGACTTAGTTCAAATTTTGCGGGATGGTAGATTTAGTTTCTCTGACAGCGATGGTATACGATTAGGGGTGCCAATGCTCAATAATTCTTGAGATATTTGCAATTGAAGATGTGATCATTGGTCTAATTCATAAACATTACCATGTAAAGTCACGTGGTATCCTATAAGGATAGTATCTCTTCAGTTCTATAGGCCCTGAACTAGACCTAGCCTAAACTTTATGCTATAAGGTTTAGATGCCATTACTTGATAATTCTTAAGATATTTGCAATTGAAGATGTGGTCATTAATCTATTTCAGAAATATTACCATGTACAGTCACGTGATATCCTCTAAAGATAGTACCTCTCCAGTTCTATAGGCCCTGAACTAGACCTAGCCTAAACTTTATGCTATAAGGTTTAGATGCCATTACTTGATAATTCTTAAGATATTTGCAACTGAAGATGTGATCATTGATTTAATTCAGTTTTGTTCAGAAATATTAGCATGTAAAGTCACGTGGTATCCTCTAAAGATAGTACCTCTTCAGTTCTACAGGCCCTGAACTAGACCTAGCCTATACTTAATATTAAAAGGTTTTCGTCTTTTATCTCTCCAGGTTCCTATCAATTCGCCCTCAAGCAGCCACTCGAACGTCTAAACTCTGGTATCCAATCGATTTTACGATCTCGTCACATCGCAGAGAGTGTAGGGTATCAACGGCAGTGTGACCGGTAGCGAGTAGAGATCGATTATGATCGGGAAAGACCATCTGCTGGCCGAATCGTCGTCATCCAACCACACTGGAGAAACAGTGAGACGCGCAGGCTCAGGATACGTGGAACCGGTTATGCTGATGGCAAACTGTTTTTCACCTTTTGCACCTCCCTCTACCTGGCCATCGCCCAGCCACTCGCGAACACGCCGATGCTCTTTCGTCTAGCCCAGCACTGTCCAACCGAACATCCAACCTCAGACCCTGCACTCTGACGACGCGCTGACACGCAAGCGATCAACGGACATTTGCCTTAATTAATTTTCGTTCTGTCACCGAAGGAATTCCCTAGCTAAGAATTGCTCCGGGATAACGGATCGAAGACGCGGTAGGAGGAGAAGGAAATTAGATTAGATCTGTCGAGTCGAAGGCGAGGCTAAGTGTCTTTCGCAGAACTGACACGCGGATGCGAAGGAATAGGCAAGAGACATTTCTTGTAGACAGCACTGGTCTAGCTTCTGAGTAGATACCTCGATCTGCGTGTTTCATGTTTGCTCTAGTGAAAGAGAGAGGCGAGGTTACGAGATTCTTTGGCTCGGTGACAAAGCTAATCCTCTGGCGGGCTAGATGTTGCACGAAGCTTTTGCTCTTTTTACGAAGCGGGGTGTGATCTTGAGCTTCCAAGTGGAATCTCCTCAGTCTACGATTAAATGAAACGTGGATGGAATTTAAATGGTTTCTATGGAAGTTTCTAAGAATTTTCAAACTTGCACATGCTCTAATCTACGATGATAAAATTTATAAGATCTGACTTTAGCCTTGTGATAGGTTAGCTGTTATATGTTACCAAATCTTCTGATCTTTTCCTAATGTAAAATGTCATCTCGAAATGTCCTAATCTACAAGACGGGTACTTAACTTGTGATAAAATTTAGAAGACCTGACTCTAGTCTTGTGATAGGTTAGCTGTTACGTGTTACCTAAGTCTTCTGATGTTTTCACGAAGTAAATTGCGATCTCCAATTTCACAGTAGAGTCTCTTTAATCCATTGATCACCGATCAGCACTTGATTACCGATCTATCTTCAAGCTTGTCGAACGTTCCAATCGACGAAACGGATTCTCTACAGGAAAAATTTCTAGTAAAAGTCCTAGGTTTCTTGTCGAAGGTATCCAAGTATCCTCGTCATCAGTCTGATATAAAACCTCGAGCAACGAGGTGTCGCTAACGAAACGGAAACTAAACTACCGCAGAAAAACCCGTGTCCTTCTTGGGCCACTGGGTTCAGAAACGTCAGTCGTCGAGCTGTTTCGATGAATGAGGTATCGCGTGCAAGAGAAAGTGTCACGATCTATCCTGCACACGCAGATCTCTCAATAAGCGAACTGTCCTTGCAATCTAGAAAAAGTAGCCCGAATTCCAGCGCGGGCTAACTTCGTCACAGCTAAGTCCTCGAAGGAAAAGCGAAGGAAAAGGGAAGAAACGAGAGAAAAATAAAACCGATTCGCTACAAAAGTGGTTTCCAATACTTCCAATGATCGCGTCG